AACCTAAAAATGTTTGGAATTCGCGCCATGTCTGTTAGCTATCTCTAACACCAAAAAATGTTGGATTCTTCACTGATCTGTGGTTAGATGCCTACTCTGGGATTTTTTTTGATATGAAGCAAGCGTAAACTTGAAAGTTAAAGGCTCTTCTGCGGTGCTTTGTGGTGCAAAAAACAACCACAGAAAAATGTGTATATATTTTTAAATCACATTGATACGTTTTAATCTTGTTTAGTTTACAACAAAAGATTAAAGTCGTTTACCCAATCTTTTAAGGAAACCATTTTGGATTTGGATTTGTTTGATCCAAGGCTCCAATAACAGTATTTTAAAAAAAAAAACATTTGATACCAAAATGAGGCAAAAATCATAAAGTTTGTCGAATGACTGAAAAAAAGCTCAAAGATCAGCAAAAAATCACTTTACAATAGCTAAAGTGCTATTTTATCTATCGTAATCAGTGAAAGATAGGTATAACATATTTCTCAAATTAATAAGCACAATTTTTTTTGGTACAAGAATACATTTAGAAAATATCGTTGAAAAAATTAACTGAATTTGACACCAGCATCTATTCGTGCCTATGCTTGGAAATTTCTCTAAGTTTAGTCAAAAATCACAAAAAGCGTAACTTCGAACAATCGGCGCAAATACTTCTATCAAGGAAAAATTAAAAATTAAAATTTTTTTAAATATAAATATGACCTTTAGGCCACTCATTAGCCACTCCGCATAAAATTGGTTGTTGAAAAAAACTATGGGATTGGCTAGTGTACACGGTGCATTTAAGACAATTTATAAGTTATTCAAATTCTTTTATTTGGAATTAGCATGATTTTGTCAGCGTATTATGTTCGAACAAGTATTTTAGATGCTATAATTTTGATTGTATCATAGTTTAATAATATGGTCTGTTTCGATTTCAAACTCAAATCTGCAGTTTCCTGCTCCTCCTCATCCTCAGTTGCAGTCCGGTTAGGTTTTTTAATCATTGAAATTTATTTATAAATTATTATATCATATTTTGTTTTGAAGAATGTTTAATATTACTAATATATTTATAATGCATTATATGCATGTATTAATATTTACTATATTTGTGCATAGAAACTCAAAATGGGCTTCAACCTATTGAATCTCTTTCGTCATCATCTAAAGTAGATATATCTAATAATTTTAGTAAAGAAGGTTGATTTACAGGTTTTTTCAATTTTTCTACTGTTACAAAAATTGAACAAATTAAACCTATCAAAATGCAGTCAGTTGACAACATTACTCAACAAGAAAGGATAACATTAAAAGATCTAAAAGAAATGAAAAATATAGTTATTAAAAAAACAGACAATCGAAACACTTTTATTGTAATGGATTCAAATTATTATAATGAAAAACTAGTTCATCAAGACCACCTGATCTCCGCTAGTACTTATGGTAGGACAAAACCTGAATCAGATAAAATGTTTTTTAGAGATCTAATAAAAATGATAGGAAAATATAATTTTTTAACAAAAAATGAAATAAATTACATCACAAATTTTAAATGGAAATCTAGTAGTTTCTATATAACTCCGAAAATTCATAAATGTCAAGAAATTATAGACAAAGTAAACGCATCTAACTCACTTTATGTTGAAATGAAACCTCCAAATGATCTCAAAGGTAGACTAATTATTGCTGGAATTAACTCACCAACATCACATTTAAGCCAGTTCTTACATATAATTTTGTCTCCAATTGTAACAAAACAAAAAACTTTCATTAAAGATGATTGGGATTTATTAAAAAAGATACCAAGAGCGTTAAATTCGGATAGTTGTATTTTGACTTGTGACATTGTTAATCTATATACTAGTATTCCACACAATCTAGGTATAGAAGCATTAAAGTACTGGATTGAAAAACATAAAAGTTTAATAGGTAAAAGATTTACTCCTGAATTTATCATTGAATCAACATACTTTATTTTATAAAACAACAACTTTCTATTCAACGACCAAATGTTTCGGCAAATTATTGGAACAACCATGGGTACGAATTTCCCTCCAGATTATGCATGCCTAACAATTGGATATTTAGAAGAAAAAAGATTTTTTCCTAAGATTTTACCTAAATACTTTTCCAGTAAAGACGTAAAATGACATACAGGAATTTTATTATAGATATATTGATGATGAATTATATTATAGATATATTTAATCTGGCCAAAACATTTAGATATCGTTAAGTTTAAAAACTCTTTGACCGAAATAGATAATTCAATCAGTTTTACAACAGACATGGGCACAGAATTTATAATAGATGGTAATACTTATAATATAATTAATTTCTTAGACATATGTATCATTCTTGAAAACAACAGAAAAATAAAAACGGATATTTATTGTAAAGAAACCAATTCTCACGACTACTTAAACTACAACAGCCATCATCCATATCATATAAAAAAGAACATCTCTTATGGCCTTGCTCAAAGAATAATTGTTTTCACATCTGATTACAATAAAGAAAAACAACGTTTAGCAGAACTAAAAATGTGGCTAAAAGAATGCGAATATCCTAATAATATTATTGAAAAAGCATTTCACAACGCGAAACTCCAAGGACCAGCTTCCCAAAATCAATCAAAAGAAATTTTTCCTTTTGTTACAACTTTTTACAGCAATCTGAACTGCCAACCTTTTATTACTGAAACAAATCTTTTGCTTAATCTATCTTCAAATGAAAGAGTAAAAGAAGTTTTTTCTAATGTCCAACCAGTAATTGCGTATAAACAACCACCCAATCTACTGAGAACACTTACTTCTTCAAAAATTCAATCAACCAGTAAAGAAGTAGGATTATTTAATGTAATGATAATCGTTGTAAAATATGTAAATTCTACCTTCAAGAAGTTAAATCATTTACGCCATCAAATGGTACTATATGGAACATAAAAAGCCATATTACTTGTAATAGTAAGAATGTTATATACTATTTAAAATGTTTGTAAATGTAACAAGAAAGCTACATACACCGGAAAAATAAATAACCTACGACTTCGCTTTAATGGGCACATTTCTAGTTGTAAAACTGGGCAATCAACAGATAGGTTTGATAATCATGTATACAATTGTCAACGTGCGCATAACTCCATTATAGAACCTTTTTTCCAGCATTTTGTGTTTGTGGAGCTAAAAAATTAAAAAAATTTAGTTTCTTATGAGAAGCATTTTCACAACCAAAAACACGATACTTTTAATTGACATTAAAATATAGATTACAATAGTTGCTAACAGCAACATTAAGTAATTATCACTTGCTGTTTAAAAAAAAATATATATTTTGTTGTTATAATAACAAAAACAGCACTACTGATGATTTTTTGAAAGACCTCTCGTGCTAAAATATTAAAATTTATAATTAGAGTAATTTTTGTAAAATTAAAAGAAGAAAATATTTCGTTAATTGTTTATTTTGCTGTCTAATTTTTTTACTTATATATATATATATATATATATATATATATATATATATATATATATATATATATATATATATATAATATATATATATATATATATATATATATATATATATATATATATATATATATATTTATATATATATATTATATATTTATAAAAATTTATAATATTTTTTATCAAGGTTTTTATGCTTACGATGTTTTTTTTTTTTTTTTTTACATGATTATTTGAAAATTGTAATACTATTTAATCAGCGAAATAAAAGTTAATAATAATAATAATAAATATAATAACCAGGGCCGGATTTAGCCTTTTGGGGGCCCTTGGCCAAAATATTTTTGAGGCCCCTAAAATAATTTAATTTTTGGGAAAAAAAAAATTTTCATTTTTTTATTTAAAATTTTATTATTTAAACAAAACAGTGTGAATATTGAGAATTTAATGAAAAATAAATTTTACAACATTTTTGATTTTTCTACACATTATTTTTAGTTTTCAACTTTTTATGTTTATTAAATGTTGGGGCCCCCAAATGTTGGGGCCCTAGGCCGTGGCCTAGTCGGCCTATAGGTAAACCCGGTCCTGATAATAACAATAATAATAACGTTCTGAATTGTGCATAAATGATGCATATAAATTTTATATTATGCCATAATATAAAATTTTATAGTTGTTAACTATGTAAATTTATCATGTAGATATTAAAATATGTCAAACATTAAAAGTTTATTTAACAAATATTTAAAAAGTTGCAATGATTTTAATAACTATTAATCGCCGCAATCTTTTTAAATACTTAAGAAAAAAAGTCATTGCCCTCATGTTTGGGGTATGGTTGATAATAGTTTTCGTTCCCGAGCTCCCACAATCCACCGATTTTTTTTCAAAACATTTGTATTTGATTTCAGAATGAACATAATTAAGTTATGTATGAAAGTGTCTCATTTAAAAATCGAGTTGGCGTCCGCGAAATGGATCTGGACTTTTGTCTAAACTTGCTATGTCCATGAGCTGTTTTAAAGATTAAAAAAAAAGATCTTGAATCTCTATTTTACTCACTCATGGCCTAATATCCACATAAATACAACAATTATATTTTTGGTTACCTATTAACGGAATGTTCTCACTGCCCTCTGCTTATTGGCTCAATGTATTAACAAAATATTTTTTTGTGCACTGCAGGTTTACTCGCTTCTAATTTTTTTTTTTTTTCGCTTCTAATTATTATTTTTTTTCGCTTCTAATTATTATTATTATTATTGCTATTATTATTATTATTTTTTAAGTTGATTTAGGTGCCCCAAGAAGTCCTTACGGTCTTATACGGGAAGGAGGCGTGAACTTCCTATTAAATGCTCTTCTGCGGTGCTCTGTGGTAAGACCATAAGGACTTCGTGGGGCACCTAAATCAACTTAAAAAAAAAAAAATGTTATTAGTTTAGTTGCTATAGTGACATATTTTGACACATATTAAGCAACTACACTACAACTTGCTGATTATTGCAGAAATTTGTCACGTCAATAAAAAATATAATTAAACAGAATTCTGTCCGAAGTTTTGCCCACATCCACGAATCGGCAATAATTTCATGTTTACACTGCCAAAAGAATTCTCTCGGATTTTAGAGAGTTGGACGGATTGGTTAGTTTTGTTTTGTCTTAATAAAAAAGTGAATTATCAATCCAAAAAAAAAAAAAAATGTTTTCATTAATAGAAATTTTGAAATTTAAAGCATATTAAATAAAATGTATCGCCAATTTTAGAAAAAAAATTATTTTAAAATCAGTTTTAAAAAACAAACAAATTTTTGCTTCTTAATTGTAATTTTTTGATTTATGGATAATATAGCTTGATATATGGTATCATTCTAAACTAAATTTCTTTTTTTTTTCAAAAAATTTAATTCCAAGTTAAAAGGTTTGAATTTATTTTAGTTAACAAAAATATGGCTGATCTGACACCAAACAATGCTGAGCTATCAGAGAATATTTTTGATATTATTAAAAATATGGCTTTAGCTCATGAAATGGTCATATCAGACAACTTTAAATTCAATCATATTTCAGAGCAGCCTGAAGCTGCAAACAGGTGATTTTTAAATTGTTTTTATAAAATAATAAAGTAGCGACAAAAAAGATTATAATGTAAAATTTTGAAATTGTAAAAAAATATATATTTAATTTTTATAATAATGATATAACCTTTGTAATTATAAAACAATAAAGTAGTTTTCAACATATTCTTATACTCAGGGCGCCTAAAGAGAGGCGAAAAAGACTGTTTGTCCTAGGCTGCAGATGTCCATGGGGCAACAAATAAGCCCAAGGTACCAAAAAAAAATTCACTGATAATATAGAAAATATTTAGAAAATTATGGTTAACAATTTATAAGTTTTAAAGTATCAAATTTTTATATTTTAAAAACTGCATTATTATAATTTTAATATTTTAGAAACCATATGTTCTTTTAAAGTACATTAGAGTTTTTCAAAAAATGAATAGAATGTTTTTTTTTTAAATTAGGCAGTTATACTCATAGATAAAGGCAGATATGATAGCCTTTGTGCTAAATATTGTACTTACACATTTATCATGTCATCTTTACAATTGTAATTTCTGTAACAGAAGTACCGAATTCTAAGTTTATGGAAAAAAAGGTTTTTTGAATTTATTGATAAAATTAAAAAAAAGAAGAATTAATAATGGATTTTATATCAACTGATCATCATGCACAAATTCATAAGTTGTAAGAAGTTGATCCTCAAAAACTAAAAAGTTGATTTTTTGATATAAACTACCTGTTTGATCCATGGTAGATAGCTAAATCCACCTAGTTAAATAAGTTAAAGTTTTAAATTATTTATTGCTAAAGTACATAACAAAACAGTATTATTTTCTATATGGCCACATAGTGATATTTGGCAGCATTTGACCATAATTTTAGTTGTATTGTGTTGAAAGTTTTGGTAAATCAAAGTTTCAGATAGAATATAGATGTAAAAATAAGGAAAAATATGATTGCCTCTTACTAATGAAGAAAAGTGACAAGATTGCTAATAAAAAAGGTAATATAACTGCCTCTTAGTAAATTGAGAAAAGTAGTATGAGATAAATATAACCTCACAACTGGAAACTAAATAGGAAAACAATATTGTTTTTTGTTAATATCTCTATAAATAATTTATTTTGGTAAGTTAAATTAACTCTAAATTTAATTTAAAATGTTTCTTTATGATATACATTATTATATATGTATTTTATATGATATATTTACATGACATATTTATATTGTATAATATAAATATGTCATGTAAATATATCAATTAAAATATGTTATGCTAACATATTTTAATGATTAACTTGCTGTATTGTTTACTCACAAAATACTTTTGCATATTAAAAAAAAATTGATAAAAGCAGTATGAGGTAAATATAACCTTACAACTGGAAACGAAATGGCAAAACAATAATGTTTTTTGTTAATATCTCTAAAAATAATTTTGGTAAGTTAAATTAACTCTAAATTTAATTTAAAATGTTTCTTTATGATATATATACATCATTTTTTTGGTACTTTTTCTTTTACATTTTTATTCTGCGCAAAAAGTGTTATATAGTTTAAAGAACCTACAAAAGCCTATATTGAATGTCAAATCTCGTAAATGAAAACCTATCAAAACTGTTTACATTGCTCTCTAACACCCTTTTGATTTTTTTTTTTTAATATTTAATCAGTTTTATGTTGTAATATTATTTGGTTAAAATTGACTTTGTTTTTTGAGTCAGTTTATTTATTTATTCAAAAAAATAAAGTTTTCTTTTCATTTTTTTTTTTTTGAACTTAATTCTGACAAATTGTAGAGTGCACAATCTCATAATTTAAAATGTTAAGCAAATTGTTTTTTTTTTTTATTGTTAATTAAGATTTGCTCATTCTGAATTTGTTTGTTAAAAAGTTTCTATGCATATGATTCAATTTATAATTAAAAATTTTTTTTTCAAAAAAAAGAAAGTTTTCCAAATTCTCATAGATTTTTAGAAGAAATTTGAGGGAATGTAATTTTTAGGAAATGACTTACCTTGCATCTTGGACTACTCGGTGTAGTTAAGGGGATTTACAAAATATTCAAATACTTTTATTTGGAATTAACATGGTTTTGTCAGCATATTATGTCCAAACAAGATCTTTAAATGATATTATTTTTTTGCTTAAGGTTTTTATAATATTTAAAGAAACTTTTCTTTTTTTTAATATAATTTTCAAAACCTTTTTACTACCTGTAATAGTGAATGTAAAGAAGACTATTTTGGAGTCTTTAGGTCAATTCTGCTCATCAGCATTGACATGAATTTAGTTAAAATCTTTTGATAAAGTTCCTTAATTTACTACTGATCCTAGTTCTAATCGGTTCTGACATATATTAACTATATATAGTTGTCAAAACACAATATTTTTATCAATTTTTACAAAAAATACTAAAATTCCGACCAAGAAAGAGCTTATAATTATGGAAAATTGTCAATAAACAATCAGAACAGATCATATTGATAAACTATAATGTTCATTTTACCTTAAAAATTAATATAAAATTTCATTCAAATTTGGACGAGCTATTGTGATTCTAAGATGAATAAAAAAAATAAAAAAAAAATCTTCGGTCTGGGTTTTTTCACTACAAACATTTATATTTTATGATACCGGAAAATTTATCATTTTTAAATTTTTCGTCTTTTCATAATTCACAGACCAGACTATTTAATGCAAATATGTCGTCGTCAACAAAATATCATACAGACACTATAATATTTTTAAAATGCCTTAATTACACAGAGCACTAAGAATTTCTGAAAAATTCCAAAGTGATGATGAGGTTTTTTCATAATTTTCATAATTTTTCATAGTTTTTATTTTATGATAAAAAAACTGAAAAATTGAACTTTTTTTTAAATCACTTGGAATTTTTAGAAATAATTGGAGATTTTTAGCTTATTTGCAGCTATTATCTGAAAAATAAGATAAAGCTACCCTTAAAAAACTAAAAAGACTTTGGACTTTAAATATTTAAGTAAACAAAAATGATGTATTTTATTTAATATAATAAATTGTTTTCAGCCTAAAATATTCGGAATACAGTTTGTAGTAAAAACAATTAATAAAATTGTTAGATATATATTTAGGTTTGAAAAAAATTGCCTTTGAAAAAATATTGACTTTTAAACAATTAAATTTTAAACAGTGAAATTCTAAAATAATAACGTCTGAATAAGCATAAATTCTACAACTAGATCATAAAAAACTTTTTTTTATTTTTATTCAGATTCACTCCCAACAAGGTTGCAAGCAATCACTATTAAGTTGGGAGTTACTAGAAAACATAAGAATAGAGTTATAGAATAGTTATAGAGAAAAGAAACAACTTACAGAAGTCTTAAAAAGTTGTAGGTTGTATGAGTCAGGAAAACATGAAGATGGGAGAGAGTTCCAAAGGGTTGAAGTGTGGTTAAAAAAACTAGGCAAATAAAAGTTTTTAAAGCATGCAGGAACAAATACAGTGGAAGTATGAGATTTTGCTGAATGACAAGTCAAGCGAGAATGAGTTGGTGATTGATGGAACTAGAGATGATAGCTACTTTGAGCAGCACCCATTATTAGTAAGTGACTGGGATTGATTTTTGACCGTGGCTAGGGGCAAGTTTGATAAAATATAGCCAGGACCGAGGCCGGGTTTGTGACCTAAACAATTTATGGCTGCATAAACAATTATACATCCTAAAGTATATTTTTTTAATTCAAAATTCATGTTATATTTTGTATATATATATATATGCATACATAAACATCATCACAATCAACATGATTATCATAATCATTATCACCATCATGATCATGATCATGATCACTATCATCATCATCATCATCATCATCATCATCATCATCATCATCATCATCATCATCATCATCATCATCATCATCATCATCATCATCATCCGTCATCATCATCAGGCTTTAGCCTTCCTCTTCTATGCTGTTTCTTTATTATAAACAATATAGAACATTTTTCCTTAACTAAACTTCATTCATACAATATATAAGGCACTCTCTTCAAGTTTTCTTACTTCTACCACTACCATTTTCTCCTGAAGCTTCTACCTCTCTATATGCTGATACCTACATCACTTTAATCTCCTCTAACAAACGTTGTCCGTTGCCTCCTTTTCTTACTGTGCAAGAGTCGCACCACACATCCATCTGAACATCTTCTTATTCAGCAAATACTATGCCATATAAATACTAAAGTTTATTTAAATATAAAAGGATATTTTTTGCCAGCATCTAAATAAATAGCAAACATATATGTTTATACCCATAATATGTATGCATAAATTTTGGAAGCTTTTATTCCTTCTGGAATAAAAGCTTTGAAGCTTCTATTCTTTCTCTTTAATTTTAAGTCAATATCTATACTTCACATTTTTCACCATTCTGAGCAGTTGCTTTATTAAACAGTAATCATTTTTTTTTTATTCTTTTTACTAGAACATCTCTCATAAAAAAATGTATTTTTATTATTCCAGAATGAACTCCTAGAGACACTTTCAAGAACCTTCTCCATCAAGACCTAGTTTGATAAGTTTATTTAACTGAGGACTTCTGATCTGAACTAAAGTGTTTCTTAGAGACAACAACAATCTTTACGTTTAAAAGTGAAGTTGAAAATCTTCACTGATGTCTCTTTTTCTAAGTCCTACTCAATAGTTTTTGCATATCATTTGCATTTCAGTCAGGTCAGGTTTATCCTGCTACTGGTAACATGTAACTCAGTACAATCTGCTTCATATTCTGCTGCCTTGTAGGATATGCCTTTTTAGGCAAAGGCTAGGAGATGCAAACTCTGACATAAAACACCCCCTACTTTGGGGCTCTTGGTTGAGTAAAGGCTAGAGACAGTGTCTCGATAAAAATACTCATCTTAGGCAGATGTTAAATGCATCCAGCTGCTGTCTTGTAGAAGGCCTCCTAGGCAAAGACTTAAGGGGTAAACAGATTCTATCTTTTGACCAGCCTCGCACCCCTCGCATCTATTAGG